CGCCAGGCAATTGTTCTCCAGGTAGGGACGCAGCCGATGGATCAGTCGAAGCTGAAAGAAAGCGCTCCTCGCCACCGCTGTCACCTGAGCTTCCAACGATAGCTCTGGGTAGAGGAGCACTCCCAAGCTGTGGATCCCGTCCCTAAGAGGGAGTGCAACCCCATTCAGGACAAGGTCCAGGTCGCCTACCCCGAAGCCCGATCCGCCAACCAGCAGGACCTCCATCTTGTCTGGATTGAGCTTCAGTTTGTTGACATTGTTCAGACCAGAGCCCAGTGCTCTACATTTGGATTCCTACTTGTTTTATATGGAAAACTTAATTGATGGTATTGCCATTTAAAGCCCATTTAATTTGTTTTCTAACTTTAGAGAACACCAGAACTTTAGACTTATTATAATTAATTATCAGACATTTCATAGAGCAATAAGTTCCAAATGTGGCTAGTAAATGATTTCACTCAATTCTGGAAAGTGACAACAGAACAGCACCATCAATTATTTCACTAAGACTGACAGGCTACCATTCTAGAACATTAGAAGACAAGCAAAGGTTATGTGAGAAAAGAATATTAAGAGTCCTGAAGTATTGCAGAAAAATGTCCTTCCTGTTCATAATTAGAAATATAACAAGCAGGATATTCATAATGCTCTGACTAGACTCCCATTACAAGTTGCCTGAATAATATTATCCTTCTTTTGTATAGCATAAGTTCCATCTCTCTCTTTTTCCAGTTCTTTTCTTTTGGTTTATTAAAACCTCATATTCTCATTTCAATTTGTAATATATTTCTAGTAGAGCTTTGTCTCCATTATTTCAATATGCAGAATAAACTTGCTTAATCTGTTTCTTAAGCAATCTAAGCTAATTATCAAAACAGCTTTTGTTTCTGTGGTCTTTATTCCCAACCAGGGAACTATCTGCCACTAAAGTCCTCTGTATACTAGGAATTAATGTCTCATAATGGTACAGCTTTTCTTCATCAGTAGAGGCTAAGATGATATGATGTACCAACAGGGGATGCTGTGAATGAGTCAAATTTACCCTGCATATTTTTTGTACACAATTCCTCTCACACATGGGAGCAAAGAAGAATCTAATAATGAAGAACTAGTGGGTAAATTGATCTTTAGGGAAGGTTCAGTTAATGTCACTAATGTGTAGTGGTCAGTGTTCATATGATTATAGATGTTAAATGCCTTAAGTGACTGACCAACAAGGACATAGTCAACAACACTGGTTCCTAGCATTGAACTAAAGGTGAATTCACCCAACATATTGCTTAGAGTACTTCCACTCAAGGTAACTTTATTGTGTCAGCATGCTAAAATTGCTAACCAAGTTTTGGATGACAGCAAAGTTTTGGATGACATCCTTGGAATGTCTAGATGAAGAGTATCCTATCATATGATTAATTCCTTGGAGATGTTGGGAATTTACTAATAAGTTGTTATCAGGGCGCAGCTGGGCATTAAAGTAATCAGCCACAAGGACCTGAGCTGATGGAAGCTTTGCCTTGACATATTGTTCTAACTCTTCCCACTGAGCTTTCCTTTCCTTTTCACTTGTTGGGAGACCCAGAAGGGAAGTATAGGATAGATGGTGAACCAAGTTCATGAGTTTCCAGAACTGGAAACTAAGCCAGTTCTTCGTGTCAGCAGTGCCAACATTAACTTTAGTGGGATACAACTTAACTGCCAGTTCATCCTCAGAGTAGAGATCACAAGTTTTTGATGATCCATCTTGCTCTGGGTTTTTGACTAAACATACTGGGGAAAGCACCTGAATTTCCTTAAATGATGTTTTATCATCTGAATTGAATCCCAGCATGGTCTCCCCCACCCTCTTAAAGAGCATAATGTTTCAGGTCAACGATGAGGTCAATGATCTGGCTGCAATACCAGATTTAGCGCATTAAATTCCATAAAAGTTGTTATTGCTTCCTTTGGAATGAACCAAGTGAGTAGCTTTCTCTTGGCAATGGAGGCTGGCTAGAGGCAGTAGTGTCTCTAGGAACTAAATTGCCGCTTGGAGCAAGAGGGACTAGTTGGTTTAAAATCCCCAATATTTCCCTAAGTTGAGCATATATAATTTGCATTGTATTGGTCACTAGGAAACACTGGTTTGCTGAAAGTTCTATAAGGGATAAATCAGCAGAGATTCACTCAAACATGGTGACCTCAGGTTTAAAAGGGGTGACAGAAACATCTTTATTTCTAAGGTGGGGGGAGATGTTGTTATTGTCATTATCCTTAACAGATATTGGGTGTCTATTTTCATACTGAGCAGTGGTCCCTTTCACTTGGGCTCCTGTAAGGATCAGGAAGTTGTCAATTTTAGACTGCTTAGAGAGTGGCTGTGGCAGCAAATCACTAGAAGAATTACATCTCTTCCCACCTTTCATTATTACCCACTAGAACTCATGTTCCTCTCTAAAGAGTAGAGAAGAAAAAGAAAGAGGGAGATAGATGGGAATATTCAGTTGTTAGGCTTGAACAAATATTCTGTACAACTACAGGCCTAAACAACTGTATCATACAGCATAAACAAACATTTCCCCTTACTTAGACAAACAGTTTATAAAGTGCAAAATTTGTCAGAGGAAACAGAGGTTACCCTTTATTATAGTCCATACCATATGTCCCTCAGGTGATATGTAACAGTCTGCTTAACAGTGGTGCAACTTGGTTGTTAAATCAGCTTTAGTGTGATCACTAATGCAGTGTGCCCTCTTTTGAGCATCCCCCGCTTTCATTTCTAAAAGATTTGGTGGGAGAGGGTAGAAAATTTATTCAGGAACAAGTGCCATAAGTAAGAAGACTTCAGAGCACAAAGCAATAAGTGGCTTAAAGTGGCAATTTTGAGGCAAATGACGAATAAACTGAAAATACATTCATGCATGTATTGCTCAGTTCTATCCTGGAGTTAGCTTGGGGATAAGTTTGGATGGCACTCAAAAGTCTGCATCTGTTGCTGTTCACAGATCAAAATCCCACTGTGAAAAGCTGTAGGCTGATATAAATTGTCCGTCCTGGGTAGACACAGCCCACACCACATGCAGGTGCTGCAGGAGCAGCTCCATCTCCTGCTGTAGGCATGCCTAGCAGCCCTTCCACCCCACCCTCCCCACGTCCAGAGGATGTCCTCATTTCAATTTGTAAGGAGTCCTCTGCTTTCCCCCATGGTCCACACAGAATTCCTCGATGCAAGGAAGGGCCCCAGCTCAGCCAGGCCCTCCACTGTAAGGAAAAGCTCTGCATGTGTGCACAAGTGCATTTGAACACTCCCTTCAAGTGTGTTCTGAATTATTTTTAATCACCACAAATACTGGATTTCCTTATATTGTGAGCCTCATTGTGACAGAAGTGTTTAACATTTAGAAATATATATATGAGGTTCAGAATGGGCTGAAGAGAGGTTTTGAGTCTTCCCAGGGCCTTGCCCCCTGGATTGCAGCTGGAATTTCAGGGAAAATCTTAACCCATCCTCCTGAAGTGCTATGCTTCCAGTTTGGGTCTCCACACACAAATACACAAAAGTAAAGTTGCAGCATTAGCTAAACTGATGTGATTAGTGGAAAGCATAGTTTGGTACAAAGGGGAGGGAAAATAAGAAATAGCAGATTTAGGGGTGGAAAGAAGCGGTGGAAAATTGTGATTTAAGAGAAGTATAGATGGGCCAGGAGGCTGGCTGAGTGAAGTGGGGGTTAGAGGCTGCAAATAAACAGAATGAAGACAACTCAAAAGTTTGCTTTCTGTGGACCCCCCCCCCCCTTTCCTAAACATGAGTTGGATTGATTTTATGTGAAGTCACACAATACTTTAGAGAGAAAGCATCATGGCTGGACCTTTGGGGCAGGAGGTGCCAGTGGTTAGATGGGAAGAATGCAGAGGGTTACATTTTCATTGTGCTGTCTCCTTCCTCAGATTTGTTGGGGTCTGCTTTGGGGACAAATTTAGGAAGGGCTGAAACTTCAGCTGATTGATGGGTGTCAGTGGAATTCTTTTCGGGTGTAAAAAGATGAGGAGTTCTGAATTTCATTAATCTCTGCACATGAATATCAAGACAGGCAGCCTTCAAAGTAATAGATTAGTAATAATTTTGAGGAGAAGACCCTAGTCTTCTGACACTATCATAATATAAAAGTCTTCATCACCAAGTAAGACAGCCATTTTAAAACATATAAATGTGTGACAGACAATTCAATATTAATATATTTTTATTTATATAAGTTATTGAATAAATACAAATGGTCTATGATATTCTTGAACCAGACTTTTGCAATGCATAAATACAGTTATATAAATATGTTTTATAAATATTGGTTAATATGGATGCTTCTCTTTACTCCTTGGAGAGTTTCACATGCCATATGCACTGCTGTTATCAAGACATCAAGCATACAGATCAATAAAAATGACTAATAACGTGATGTAAAGGACACCAAACATGGTATAGGGCAGGATGACTGTGCTTTTATCAGCTGGAAGCAGGAAGCGGGGTTTTAACTGGGGAAGGGTTCTTCTTCCACAATCTGGCTTGAGGCCAGCGGGCAGAATCCTGTGATGATTGCCCACATGCACCCTGCCCCACTGATCCTGCTCCACCAGCAGGGGACTGATCACTCATGCACTGGAGATGCAGCACTTCTGGGTGCAGTCCGAATTGACTGGAATGGAAGCACTCATTTCTCAAACTGGGCAGGCCAGCATGACCCACATGGCATTTTCAGGAGCTGCCTGCAAAGTGTCATGTCTGTGCTGTGCAAGTGGAATATAGTTGGATATGGCAAGAAAGAAAGAAAGAAAGAAAGAAAGAAAGAAAGAAAGAAAGAAAGAAAGAACGAACGAACCAGGGCTCTATACATAGACAGGCAACACTGCATACTGCTCAGCAGAAATATGCAGCTGGAAAGGTATTTTTTTTAAATGCAAATTGTCCCAATTGTCTAGGAAACTTGAAGTAATTTGAACCTACTGAAGCATTCAACATGGATCACTACATAAGAGCACTAAATGCAGCCTTCCCTTAACCCTAATGGTTTCCCTATGTCTGCTAATCCCTGCAACATTTTATTCTCAGCCACCCAAGCATATAATTTCTATGCTTCTGGCTTCATCCTGTAGTCGATCATTGATGTCCTGCATTCAGCCGCCTGATTTGGCTGCTCTTAGAATAGACATGGGTGGTAGGAATGGCACAGGTGCAACCAACAGTAATCACCTGTTTCTCTAACCAGTACACATGCTGGCAACCCGCCGGCTTCCGTTTGAGGACCAAGATCTCCTGTTGAATGGGAATGGAGTTCAAGCCGTAATTTAAACCACGCCCTGTGGAGTCTAGACAGGCAGAATAGCGGCAACTGGCTTCATAAATCACGTGTGGAAACCTGTTGGGATCCTCGTTCATGCTGTAAATTAACACACAAAAGGGAAACATGGTAAGAGAATTTCTTAGAATACATAGAACCTTGCATTGAAATCAAGCACTGAAGCTCAACCATCTGTAGTGGGAGTGAATTTGAATCTGAAAATGCTGGCTGCAAATGGTAACCAACAGTCCCACATCCTACAGTTGTGCATGAGAAAACATAACATTAGCACATATTCTTCCTGCTGCAGATTCCTGCTACAGATTCTTCTCTATAACGCTCTGTTTCCACATATTGAATTCTCCTGCACACTTCATGAGACAAGAAGTATTGGTGGTGCCAGTGTCAGAACTTGCTCAAAAACTGTGCATAACAGATATTAACCATGCTCTCTGTCCATGAATCAGTCCCTGTCACAGGTGATCCTACTGTTGCAAGATGAAGCGAAACAGCACACATGCAGTGAGGTTGGCTTGTTATTGAACATGCTGGAAAGTTTCCATAAGCCAGTTCTATTGGAATGGAGATGAGCCTGGAAACCAGCTGACCCAAGTATCCCCTGATGCCAGCCCTACAGCTATTGCTGTAGAACAGTCCAGAAGCAGGATGGATCAGAGTGGACCTGAAGGACTCTTGAAAGGATTAGCTGAAAAATTCAAGGGGCAATCAGGTCCCTCTCTCCCTCCAATCTGGATCCTAAAAAAATAGGCTGGCTTCATGGTGGATAGCAACAACAACGGCAACAGCAGCAATAGCACGGTGTCCTGCAGTGCAACACTGAGTGGCCTTTGCAGCCTAGGTGTGTTCAAGCGCAGCAGAACTGTCATTTGCACTTGCTATGAGAGCCACTGCATTTAAATCAAAGGGAAGGTGTCCAAGATGCAATACCTGTAATTCCATGGAGACAGAGACCGGCTCCTGACATCCAGAAGCAGCTTGTGAGCTGGCTGGGTGTTAGCAATATGTATGTTGACCCTCACACTATCTGGGAATTTGTTGTCCTGTTGGGATGGGCAGTTCCCACTTATTCTCTTTGTGCGTTCCTCCTCTCTTCTAGGATTTCCATGGGCAAAATTCATGACTGCAAGCATCAGCACCAGCAGCCCGATCTGAAAGGAACAATTGATACTCTTGGGATATACAACAGTTTTCAATACATGGAATGTCATGTCAGGCTAGCATAAAATGTAATTTGGAACCAAGAATATTGGCTGGAGTGCCCAACAAACATGAGCTGGTTACCTTTTTAAATGAGGCTGAGATTTGATTGAAAGCCCCTTCTGTGAGCTTTTATTCTCCACCTGGTGCCGTCGTTATTCGCTTTCCGGCGCCAGGCCAAGACCTTTTTATTTAAACATTATTTTAATTGTTAACTTTATTTATTGATTTTAATAATTTCTCAGAATGTCTCCAATATTTTATGTAATTGTATCATTTATATTTATTTATGTTTGGAAGCCGCCCCGAGGCTTATGCGAATGGGGTGGCATATAAGTTCTCCAAATAAATAAATTCTGATTCTAAGATCCCAAATGAAGGTAAAGCCCCATTTTCAAAAATTTGAAGGATCCATTCAGCACATTCCTTTGATGGGTCATTCAGGAATGTATTATTTCATCACATTTATATCCCCCTTTTGCAGAGCACCTGAGGTGTCTTCCATGGCCTTCCTCTTCTCCATTTATCCTCACTCAGAATAACCCTGTGAGGTAAGGCAGATGGAAAGACAACAATTGGCCCAAAGGCACCCAAGTGCACACCGTGGCCATGCAGGCACCAGAACCTGGTACTCCTGGGTCCTGGTCCACTTTAACCACTGTGCCATGCTGGCACTATGCACAAAATTGATTTATGTATTGATCATTTCACAAGAAAAACCGGGTCCTAAGGAAAAACAGTAATGAGAGAGAACAACAAAATCCAGCTGAGAATGACTTTCTGGTACATCAATTCTCTTTTTAATCTAAATGAAACAACGAGGGGCATAGATGAGAAAATATATGTTAACACATTTCTGTCAAACGTTGAATCAAGTGAGTTGGATCAGAGTTTCACGAGCATTGCTGATCTACTGGAGGGCAATTCACCTAGTAAAAGTTAATGGTTTTGAGAAAAAGGCTGCCATCCAAATTGTTCTGTTTGCCAGAGCAATGGCAGTGTAAGTGTTGGCTGACAGCACTCAGAATTCTCACCCAGCAAGGCCAAGGCTAGACCGGCTGGGACTTGGGGGCAACAGTCCAACACACCTGCAGGGAACAAGGCCAGGGGTCACTACTATAGCACTGAGACTTGGTAGCCAAATGTTTCCAAATTAGGACCTGCCTATTTCAAAGGGCTTGGGGTGTGGGTCTCTTAATATGTGGACCAACGGCCTTTTCAGGTGTTTCAGAATTGCTAGCTTAATCCAGCTTCTTGCCTGGAGACTCTCCCTCAAGGTTCCTGGCCTGGCCATCAGAAATCACTGTTCCTTGTACGCTGGCACTGTAGCAAACCACTGTGTGCAAGTCTCGTGGCAAGCAGATAGGACAAAAGATACACTCTTTGCTTGTGTAGGCTATGGCAGGTAAAGGGCAGCTCTAACCAGAACTGAGTGACTTTTAAGGAGCTTTGAAAGAAATCTCCCAGGCTTGTATGGGAGGTTCAGGACACAATCATGCTAAAGCATACTGACATGGAAAATAAGTGTTTGGGGGACGGGCTTACTTAAGAGTGAAAAATAATCAAGTAAAGCGAATCTTCGAGAATCTAAAGAAAACCAGGATAACTGTCTTGATATAAAAAGGTATGGATCCTATTCAATATCCAATGGCCTCTATTTTGGGTAGCACGTAGGTCAGAGGAGTTCAGTATGTGTAAAAGGCATGCATTAATACAATCCTGCATGTGGAAGGAAGATAGAACAACATAAAGAAGAAAGAACTAAGATACAAGAGGAATTCTTGTTTTTTCAGTACTTAAACTGCAATGTTTACAACTTAGAGACTCAATGAAACTACAAACACAGAGCAATGGACAACAAGCATAATCAATGTACTCACCAGTGAGAGAAGTCTTTGATGAGACATGGTGTCCTGGTTCCTGTTGTGAAAGTCTCTCGCTTGGTGTTCTGCCCTTGAGTACCAGTGCCTTGAATTATACCCCAAAGTGCCCTAGCCATCTCCTTTTATACTGTTTTCTCTTCAGAGCCACGGTCATTTTTCCATGGCTATACTGAGACAGTTTTCCAGCCCTCACTTCTGGTTCTGGGGCAGCCGTGGGCAGCTTTTTTTTCTCTTCTATACCACTTCCTTAAAGTGTTACGTGCTACACACATACAAGGGGATAACAAGGGAAATAACATGAGATGTGCCACTCACCTCAGTATGATTTGGACCAACCGATATATCTGAGCAGAATACAGATGAGCTGCAAGATAAGAGCATCCTGACTAATCAGTGTGTGTGTGTGGGGGGGGGGGGGTTGTGTGTGTCTTTGTGCATGTGCGTGCATGCTTCATCATCATAGCCTACCTGTTGTAAAATAGATGACTCTAACTATATGTGTGTATCAATATATTCAAGTATAAATAGATGCACAACCATCAAATGCATACACTGGACAATCAAGCACCCTCTGCCACATGAGGCAAACATGTCATTCCTTCACTGGTTGCTGTGCATCACAGAGTTTGCTCTTTATTCCCATTTTTTCCATGCTTCCTCAAGATTGCTTGGAGCAGCATTTTAATCTCCCAGCAGCCCCACCTTGGCAGTGAGATGCTGACTAGCTCAGGAAGCTATACTGTGAACTGCACTGCTGATATTCAGACTCAGTATTTTAGCAGCTACAGCACACCAACTTTACTTTCTCAAACAATGCTACTTTTGCACTGGAAATATGGTGCTTATTCCTTATACGTTGGAGCAGCCATCTTCCCCCCGCAGCACATCTGTTCTTTGGAAACTGCATTTTCCATACACTCAAGCTGCAACCCTAGGCAGTTTCCTTTCTCTAAGTACAAGTTTTAGATTAAAGGATATTGTACTAGTGTGGGGACATACAGTATGTGACACAATGACTGGCTTCACAAGACACAATAATTTATGGTGGTTTCGTGGGTTGTCTGAACCCAGCAATCATCCCTCACCATGAGGTGGCTTATTAAATCACCCCATCTAGCCACGGATTGTAGTAGGGTAATAAACCTCCTGTAGCTTGTTGTGTTGTCTGAACCCAACAAAATAGGCCATGATCAAGTCAAGAAAGTGGGAAATCCCTTGGCAAGATCAGCAGAAAGTCTTGGGGCTCTGGCCGAGGGCTAGCAGCTGACCTCCTTTCCCAGGCATCTCAGAATGCCAAAGCAGGGTTTGGGGAGCAGCTGGGAAAGACTTCTCTCTCTCCCAGCAAACAGCAGGGGGGAGGCCCTTAAAGCATGGGGAAACCCCCATGCAGGGGGACAGGCTTGTCCCTTGAAACCTCGTCCCCCCCCCCCCCCCCACTGGGATGGACTGAGTTTGGCCATTTTCTGAAGTTCTATTCACCCAAGATAAATGGCAAAGACGGGAACAGCTGGAGTTTTCAAGCATGCCCCGATCTCTTGGGGATCCTGCATGCAAAGGGGGAGAATTGCAGTGGTGTCCCCCAAAATACTTTTTGTTACAGATTCTTTAGGGTTTTTAGGGTGTCCTTGTTCATCTTTGTAACTGAGACTTGGGAAGGTGAGGGGATACCAGGCTACAGCAGCATTCCAAAACCCTGAGGATTCTGCTGCAAACTGTGTTTTACACCCCCTCCCCCCGGCCCCGTTAAAATAGTTTTAAATAGCTAGCAGTAGGCTACATAGTAGCAATGTGTCTTGTACACTGTGTCCTTGCTCTGCCCATGGGCAAGCAAGTGCCCACGCCAATTTGCATATTTGCAAATTTTATTCAATTCTTTTTTTTAAGGTGCAGTGCTAGGAGAGCCCCCTTTGCAACAGAGTTCCGAGGAGGATTGGGGCATCACGTGGTCTCAGCTGCCCTCATTTTCCAAAGTGTGGGTAGCACAGAGGCACTTACTGGGAAAAAAGAGAAAGAAAGAAAGAAAGAAAGAAAGAAAGAAAGAAAGAAAGAAAGAAAAGGCAAGCCACAGCCCACACTGAACAGCTTGCCACAGCTCGGGGACATCTTGGTGCTCCTACAGTATCCACTGTTATTCAGCAGGAGGACTGAGGTGGGGAGCAGGGGGGAAGAGGAAGGAGGAGGCTATACACAACCCCTGTTGTGCCTACCTGATCTTCCATCAGGGCCAGAAGGATTTTAAGCACGCTTCATGGTTAATGTTCCCAGGGGGTTTAATATGTTGTGCAAACCAAGCCAGTTTTGCTGGGTTCACACATCATGGCAACCTAGAATTCAACAACCCATGGGTTAGTGTTATGTGTGAACCAGGTCATACAAGGGCTGATAGTTAAGTCATTATTATGTTAACCTTTCCCTGATGGGGCTATATCTATTTTGGGATGCTATTGCTGGTAAATTTTCTTTCTCTGTCCATAGACAGGGTGAGTATATGGTCTGTACCTGCACAGCTGAGTAACTATGTCTACAAGAAAGGGACTGAATGATAGAGTGACCTATTTTCCTTTTTCTAACTGACTGTTTGAAGTGATGGAAAGGTATGTATCACTGATTCATTCTGATGTTGGTTTGTCTTTGGCAGGTAGTATATGAAATGGAAATTATTATTACAGGTAGCACAACTCTTACTAGGATAGCCAAACTTTCCACCACTGCCTTTTCCTTCCTATGTAATTCCAGCATACATGGCACTTCAGAGCTACAAATTTCCATTCTATGCAAATGTCAGTTTGTTTGATTGAAGATGTGGCAGGGGCTGGGAAGGGCAGCCGTGTCCGCGTGGGTTTATAATGTGGGATGCCAAGCAATATCTGAACCAGGTCAGTTCCTTGCAGATTTTACAATGATCAAAAAATGGATTGTATCTATGTATTTGTCCACCACAATCTTAAGTTACACTCTTTAAAGGAACATATATTTCATTCAGAAATGTGGAGTCCTGCTCGACACCTTCATTCCTAGGTGCCAGGCAAAAGTACTTCTTTTCCTAGGCTTTTAAGAATGACTGATGTTGACATTTTCAGCTCAGAGCAGTTTTGATAT